GTAGTGGGTTTGTTTTTTTTAGGTTATCCAGGTTACATTAAAGTCTTAGAACTGAACAATAAAAAGACAACTAACTGAATTTAAAAATGGGCAAAGGATTTGAATAGATTTTTCCAAAGAAGACATACAAATAAATACCCAGTAAGCACATGAAAAATAGCTCAACGTTAGTCATTAGGAAATTGCAAGTTATAGCCGCAGTGAGATACTAGTACACACATGGCAGTATCCATGAAAACGTGGAGTAGCTGGAACTCTCGTATGTTACTGGTTGGATTGTAAAGTGAGGCACTTCGGAAAACAGTTTGGCAGTTTCTTATAAAGTTATGCATACACTTAGCATATGGTCCAGGAATCCTACTCCTAGATATTTGCTAAAAAGAAAAGAAGATGGTTATGTCCACACAAAGACCTATATGAGAATGTTTAAGGCAGCTTTATTTATAATTGCTGAAAATTGGAAGTAACTCAGTTGCCCATCAACTGGTAAATGGATAAACAAATTGTGGTATATCCACATATTAGAATACTACTCAACAATAAAAAGGAATAAATTGCTGGTAATATGCAACAACATCAGTGAATCTCAAAAGCATTATGTCAAGTGAAAAAGGCCAGGCACAAAAGAGTATGTGCTGTATGATTGCATCATACATCACATTCTGAAATACTAAAACTTTTGAGATAGAAATCAGTTCAGAGGTTGCCAGGGCAGGGAATTGACTACAGATATTTGTAAATATTCTGTATTTTATTTTTGGTGATGATTACACAAGTGTATATGTTTGTCAAAACTCATTGAAATCTGCATCTAAAAAGGGGTCATTTTACTCTCTGTAAATTATGTATTAATAAGTCTAACTTATAAAAACAGTAAGTTTAATACTCATTTAATAATCAACTAATTCTAAATCAAAGTGTTATTTTGAGGAAAAAGATACAGTTTACTTCTGTATAAGTTAATTTTTTAAGGAAAACAATCTATATGACTACTATGAAATTACAATAATAAAATGTGATCATATGAACAAAAACAAAAGATAAACATCTTTTAAAAATTAAATAATCCTAACAAAATTATTTTTCCAACATAATTATAACATTCTCCTTCAACTCCCAAAATTGTATCTTATGTAATAATTCACATAGAGTAATAGATTTTCAGAAGATAGTATTTACATACTGCTGAAATTCCTTTATATGGAATACATCAAAATTATTTTACTAAAGGTAAATATTTGTTTTGTTTTGAATTGCATTTTGCTGCCAGATAGCAGATGTAGTGAGCTAAGAAGGTACCTGGAATATGAGATAAAATCTTTCTCTTTAAGAATTCAGCTTAAGTCTCACTAAAGTAATGCAGTTCCTACAGCGCTAGATTTTGAAATAGTATTTCAAATCTTCGGGCCTAGCTATGTTCCAAGCTGTTAATTTTCATCTCTTTTGTGTTGAGTATGTGGAGACTGAAAAGGAAAAGAGAATCTGTGACTATTTGAGTAATTACTTATCGTTGAAGATTTGCTTTTCTGGACTCTCATGTATGATACCTCAGTAATGAGGACTGCAAAGAAAATGTTTATCAGCCTAACATACCCGATAAAGAAGATTTTAAGGTGAACTTTGAGTAGGGGTTATTAGACAGATATCCAGATAAAATGGAGCTATTGTGGTGAGAATTAGTCACAATTTTTAAGAAACATGTTGGTGTGGAGACAGAGGGGAAGGTGGGAGAACTTGGGGTCAGTGATTATGACTGAATATGCTTGTAAACTATAAAGATGTCACAGAGACTTTGGGGTACAAGACTTGTAATATGTTAATAGAAAAGCATGCTTATCAGATAAATCTCACTAGTCTAAGAGAAGGTAATAGAGGCGGGAAGAATGTTGTATGAAGAAAATCCATGAACCCGAGAGTATAAATGCAGTAGAGAACATTTATTTGGATTAAAAAAAAAAACAAAAAAAAACAAAAACCAGAAGTAATATTTTATGGTAATATGCTATAGCTTTCCTCATGTATATCACAGAAGTAGTATAATAGCTATGGTAGTGATTATGTAGCAACTGTCTACTTATAAAAGTATCCAGAGCAGTTGATAAAATTTGTATTTTCTGAATTAATTGTGACCAAAAAGGCTGAATTGGCTAGCATTTGGGATTCAACAGAGACAAAGCATTCAGTTCACTTTAGACCAGTATTTCTCAACAGTGACACTATTGACATTTTGGGTCAGATAATTCTTTGTTTTGGGGGGCTGTCCTGTTTAGGACATGATGCTTAGCAGCAACCTTGGCCTCTACCTTCTAGATGCCAGTAGCACACCTCCCTTCCCCTAGTTGTGACAACCAAAAATGTCTCTAGATATAGACAAATGTCCCCTGAGGGGCAAAATTGCCCCCAGTTGAGAACTACTGCCTTAGACTATATTATTAAAGCAAAGAAATGCTGGGCATAGTTAGGCATTTGCTCCAGGCTTAGGAAATTTAATCAAATTATAGAAAGGCTAAATCCCATTAATAGTGATTCCAAACGAAGGATGGAATTTCAAAAAAGAGTAAATAGAAGAAGATTGCAGCGGTTTACTCCACAGGGAGTTTTTTTTAGCTCAGATTGGAAACGATAAGAATATCAGACTAGAAGTATGAGTACGGATCCAAGGATAAATGCAAAACGGTAATAATCTGTAAAAATTGTGTTAGGCCAAAAGCCTATAATGAACGAAGACTTGTGAAAAATTCTTAAAACAGTAAAAAGTCATTTCTTCCTACGAATCCTTCCCTGTTAGAGTTATGGATTCAAGATATATGAGACAATGATAAATTCATTACATGAGACCATTTAGTCTTGAAACATTTTTTGAGTGTCTAGTCACTAAAGACATGATAAATAAGATAGTGTTTTTCTTACAAGCTCTAGATGTTACGTACCATCTTGTGGAGGGAAATACACAGAGAAGTAAATTGTAACTTCTCTATGACTTTATAATAGCAGAAGTGTGTAGAGAATAATACAAGGTCTTGAGGGAGGGAAGGAAAGCTTCAAAAAGAAGGCGATATTTGAGTTGAGTCTTAAAGGATGAGCTAGATCGAGGAAGAACAATTTAGGCAGAGAGGGAACAACAATTGTTAAGTCACAGAGCCATCCAAAAGTATGGTATCTTTGAGCAACCAGAAGTTTGGTGGGAATTAACTTGGTTTATGATGAGAGGGAATAGCGAGGACAACAGATGGCAGGCGATGAAACTGAGATGGAGGTTGGCAGTTTTGGGTTAATCTATTGGACAGTAAAAAAGAATTACTTAATTTCTTGTTTTTGTTATTCTCATTATTATTTTTAAATTTAGGCAAAGGAATTGTTTCAGGGTAAGAAAAAAAATTTTGAGCACTTTAAATTAGTTTACACTTCCAAAACTAGGCAAATTCTACCCTAGAGTATTGACTTAACATGCTAATGTGATTGAAGATCTTTAGAAAAACTTTGGAGAATAGTGGAGTTGCCAGAAGATTAAAGATAAGTAAATGTCTGATTATAAACCAAAGAGAAGATTGATTAAGTGCCAATTTCTGTAGTCTTCTGTTAGAGGCTTGAACCTTTCTTTGTTTCTCACAACTGCTCTTTAAGTTTCATCACCTTCACTTACATGATCACAGTCAGTCTTTGTAACTAGCCTCAGTGCATTTACTTTAGCCCATGTACAGTTAGTTATCTACATTGCTGCCAGAGGAATCTTGTTAAATTCAAATTTGATTAAGTCAGATCCTACCCCCAATCTTTTGATGGATTTTCTTGATGATATGTGAACTTTCAAGATATATTTTTATCTGTACTACTGTTATTTTCTCCTTGTTTCCTTACACTGCAGTCACCTGGCTCACGTTTGGTTCCTAGAAAGTTCCTTAATCCATTCTCTACAAGACTTTTTAGGTGTTCTTTTCCTCTTCCTAGAATTCCTTTCAACCCTACTTTTAAAACAGTTACTGTTCAAATTTAAATTAACCTTCACGTTCCTTTCCTAACCCCTCCGACTAGGTTAGATATCCATGGTGTGTACTTTCATGGCATCTTGTGCTTTTATTAGCACTTACCAGTTAGGAATTTATATTTATTTGTAGGATTATTTGGTTGTTTCCCATTTCTCTTACCTCCTTTCTCCCATCACTAGATTTTAAGTGCCATGAGAGCATGGGCCCTTGTATTTCTACTGCTAATCGTGACCAATTCTGTACTCATACAATATTCGTTAAATGTATATTAGATATTGATACTGACTTGCTAGGGATGACATAGCATTTCTTTGTTGGTAAAGTTTGGACTTGATTATTGTTTTTTTAAATTATTTTTTATTATCACATATTTCAAATGGATTGAAAACAGTAAATCTGTGTACTCATCGTCAAGATTAAACTAATAGTTAACATTTTGCCCCATTTGTTTCTGATCTTTTATTTAAAATAAAGAAAATTTTAGATTATAAGTTAAGCCATGGCCCCATACTTTCTTCCTCCGTCCCTCTCAGAGGTAACCATTAGCCTAGAGTTGATATATTTGATCATTGTTTCTTGAACTTTCTCATACTGTAGTATACAGAATAATGATTTTTTTTAAAAAAGTAATCACCCACACAAAATTGTCAAATCAAAGACAGACATACAAACAGGTTGACAAAGAAGCTACGCACATGACAAAAACAAAGTAATTTCAACTTGAAATGTAGAAAATAAGTTCTTTCAAAAATTTCCATTATGTTATCATTGTAAAAAAGTTGCATGTAAAGTTTTTGTTTATTTTTCTAAGCACTTGTACTTGGTAATCAATCGTAAAATGGAATTTAAAATTTTCTTTAGTGGTTACTTTCTTAAATTCCAGCAATGAGGTTTCGTGAATTACACACATTTAATTAGAGATGAACGCTTACATTAGAAATTTTGCTCCCTTTTCCCCATCTTGAACATGGCATTATTCTGGCATACTTCAAAACTTAAAATACTTTTTCTCTGCTTCTCTTTTCCACACTTTTAAAATTTATGTAATCATGAAACCTTCCCATTTATTAAAGTGATTATTATGATAGTCAAAAGTTAGTGTTATGTTTAAATAAGCTATTCATTGATTGGCAATTAAAATCAATAAACAATTTATTTTGTTATTAAAAAAGTAATGGAGAAAATTATTTTCAGTTCAGCATATACTGCTAATATCACCAGTGAATCTGTTCTTCATACAAAGAAGTAAAAACAACTTGTCTTGTGTTTGCCTTAGCTCCTTGTAAAATTTCACAAAAGATATATTGCTAGTAAGTAAGGGAAAATTTTTTCATTTTAAATTAAGGTGTAAGAATAATAATTCAAACAAAACATCAAAATTTATATGACTCATAGAAGATCCTTCATTTTAATATTTGTGGCTAGTTACTTCTAAGAGTTCCTCATTACATTTTAAAAATCATATGCTGTGATATTGAAGATAAGTACCATTCTTATGTGTAGTAAAATTAAAGATACTTTTCATGGACTTTGAATATAAAGTTACATATAGTTAGAAGTCTGCACTGTTTTTTTCTACTCTAAGGGGCAAAAATTCTAAAACAAAATTTATATACTTTCTTTTATATAGCATTTACTTCTGCATTTATAAAGGATAAATTTCTTAAGAGGAAGAGAATATAAGTATATCATAGTGATCATATATTCTGCCTGTTTACTTAGAGTTGAATTGTGATTAGTGTCCAGTTCCGTTTTCAGATTCCTCAACTGATGAAAAAAATGTAAAACTACCATTTGGTAGTGGCCTTAGAATCTTCCTCCTCCACAACTAAGTACTAAGGTACATATCAAGAGTCTGCATTAATGTGGGACAGTATCCAACCAAAATGCATTGAAATTTAGTAGAATTTTGGCGTATTTGAATTTTTGTTTAATAAGTATAAATGCCTTGCGTGGTTGGGTGAGTCTAAGACTTGAGTGGTGATTGTGTCTCCGTTTTGGGGGGAGGCTAGGTTGTATTTCATATTTTGGGATTATTTTTTCAAACTGTGTACTAAATTATAAGAAAAAAACTTCTTTGAAGGATATGAAACCAGTAGATCATCATAGAGAATCTAGAAACATACTTTTAAAAAATATATGAAAATTTGATATAAGGTTAATATTAAGTACTTAAATGATTGGGGAAAAGGTGGATTATTCAATAACTTCTACTGAGACAATTAGATGTCCATATGAGGAGAAAATGATGTTCAGTCTCCACCTTACAACATATACAAATGTAAAATCATAAAGTACAAGATGAAATTATACATAGTTATTTTTATAATTTTAAAGTAGGGAGTTTCCTGGTTTTTTCATTTTTTAATTTAAAAAAATTTTTTTGAAAGCAGGATATGAAGTCTAGAGATCGTAAAGGAAAAGATCAACAGATTTGCCCATATCAAAAACTTAATTTCTTTATATATATGAAAAGACAAGCACATATAAAGTACACAGACAAACTGGAAAAAATCGCAAATATTTAATAGAATTATTTTCCTAATATGTGAAGAGATCCTTCTATTCAGTAAGAAAAAACACAACCAGTAAAAAAATGAGCAAAGTAACTGAATATCCGGTACACGGGAGAAGAAATACAAATGACCAATGAGCAGTTGACAAGTTAAAGAAATGCAAGAACATTTCAGAAATTGCGATTAAAATAAGAAAATGATATTTTTCCCCATCTGATTGGAAAAAATACAGAAGAATAATCATATTCGTATCTATGATTGGTGAGTCTTAAATAAGAATGAAAATTGGTGGAGTTACTTTGAAAGCCAGTTGGATAGTATATTTTAAAACTAATAATGTTCATCAGCATAACCTGCTACTTTTATGTAAAGAAACATATCCTAAAGAACAGCTCTTAAAGTATACAGGAATGTTCATCTTACTGTTGTTGGTATAGCAAAAAGTTAAAAACAACCCAGATATACATCAATAGGAGAATTTTGTCAGTTACAATGTATTCAGTGAAAAGCAAGTTGCATACTACTTTCTAGGTAAATAAATATAGGCAACACACTTTTTAAAATGAGTACCTGTATTCCATTGATTGAGTGTACCATAAAATTTACAACAGTTTCTGTAATCATGGACACTTAAGTTCCTTTTAATTTTTCACTATTGTAAATAAGATTGTGATGAACATTCTTGTACATACAAGTTGGTACACTTGTTTATTCTTTCTGTGATGTGAATATTAAGCATTGCTAAGTCAAAAGCTGTGTCCATTTTACATTTTGATACATATTGCCAAAATGCCTTCCACAATGGTGGTATAAATGTCAGAATTTTAAAGTTGAGGCATACAATTTAATATATTATGCAGTATAACTTCAGATATTTCAAAATCTTACTTTTAAGCAGTTTGGATATATGTTGAAATAATACACATAAAATATCACTATGTCAAGTTGATTTTTAAAAGAAATGTTAAATGTCTTCCATTTTTAAAAATAAACTTTTTATTTTGTAATAATTTAGACTTACAAGAAAGTTGCAAAAATAGTTCAGAGATTCTTGTGTATCCTTCATCTGGTTTTCATTAATGTTAACGTATAACCATGGTACATTGCCTAACCAAGAAATTAACTTTGGTACTGCTCTGTAGGGTCACTATGAGTCAGAATCGACTCGACGGCAGGCAGCGGGTTTAGTTTTTGTTCTTTGGTTATGTTACCATTAACTAACTACAGCCTTTATTCATATATTATCAGTTTTTCTACTAAACTTCTCTTTGGAAAACAGGATACAGGATTCCAGGAGCCAATCTAGGATATCACGTTGTATTTAGTTATTATAATCTCCTTAGTCTCCTCTAACCCATGACAGTTTCTCATTCTTTCCTTATTTTTTTATGACCTTGACAGTTTTGAACATTACTGCTCAGGTATATTATAGGATGTCCCTCAGTTTAATTTGTCTGGTATTTTCCCAGGATTAGATGAGTCTATCAGTTTTGGGGAAGAATACTGCAGAGGTGAAGTGCCTTTCTCATTGCATCATATCTGGGATACATGACTTACACTGGTGATATTAACCTTTGTCACTTGGTTTAAGGTATGTCTGCCAGGTTTCTCCACTGAAAAATTACTGTTTTCTTTCTTCATACTGTATTCTTTGAAAGCCAGAGGCCAGTCCACACTCAAGAGGAAGGGAATTAATAAGTTCTATCTCTTGGAGTAGAGAGTATTTATATGTATATATTTCAGAAGTCTGTGTGGAAGATTTGTCCCTTTCCCCCTCATTTATTTATTTATTCAATCATTGATTTATCAGTATGGATGTGGATATTTACTTTGTACTTTGGGTTGAAATTCAGTAATACATTATTTGTTTCATTGCTCAAATTGTTACAGCTTTGGCCATTGGGAACAATGGAGCATTTCTCTACTTTCTGGCACTACAAGATGCTCCACGCTCATCTTGTATGTTCCCTGCCCAGCGCTAGAATCAGCCATTTCTCCAAGGAGTTCAGCTTCCTTTTGTTGGGGAAGGATATTTAGAAACCAAGATCTGGGCACTGGATGTGCTCTTCACTACTGAAGTATCACAGCTTCTAGGCCTCTCAGCCAAAAGAACTAGGAAATATATGTATGTACACTAACCTGTGTTTAAATACAAATCTGTAATTATTGCTGTATCTACATATATTAAAAATAAACATGAGTTCATATTGATATCATCTGTTCTAATCTAGCACCACAGGGTTCATTCTAGCCTTCCGCCTTGCTTATTTGTGATTTCTTTCTCTGACAATCAGGAAACCTTATCCCATTATCTACAGTTTATTATTCAACACCACTATACATATGAATTAACCCATATCCTTGTGTGAAACAAACTAATCAACTAGAGTACAGTGTCTTTATACATTTCTTTTTTGTCTTCAGCCTTATGATATCCAGCCAGAATACTCTTTTCTATACTTAGGTCAGTTCCTTTTTTTCTCACCATCTTCAGTGAGATTATGTTATGTTTGTAATGCAATTAGATTACTTTGTCATAGTCTGAATTCCATCCTTGGATCCCCTAACATCCTGATTTTTTCATTTGCATACATTATATATAGGTCTATGGATTTTGACAAAGGCATAGTCTTATATCCACCCCAATATTATATAGAATAGTTCCATCACCCTCAATTTTTTTTCTCTGTGTCTTCTTTGTACTCACAACCACTCTTCCCTACCCATGCTCCTGGCAAACACTGATCTGTTTTCTGTCTCTGTAGGATTACCTTGTCCAGAATATCATAAAATGGAATCATACAATATGTAGGCTTTTGAGTTTGGTTTATTTCACTTAACAAAGTGTATTTAAGATTCATCCATGTTGTTGTGTGAATCAATAGTCTGTTCCTTTTTTATTTCTAGGTAGTGTTCTATTGAATGGATGTACTAGATGTACCTCCATGTATTCATATGTTAAAGGACATCTTAGTTATTTCGAGTTTTTGGTGACTATGAATGATGTTGCTGTAAACATTTTTGCACAAGTTTTTTTTTTTAATAAAAATAAATTTTCAGTTCACTTGGGTAAATGCCTAAAAGTGGGATTGCTGTGTTGTTAGATAAGTGTATGTTTAACGTTTTAAGAAATTACCAAACAGTCTTGGAGAGTGGCTGTACCACTTTGTATTCCCACTAGCAGTGAGAGTTCCTGGTGTTCCACGTTCTCACCAGCATTTGGTGTTGTGTTTTGTATTTTAGCCACTCTAATAGGTGTGTAGTGGTATCTCACTGTGGTTTTAATTTGCATTTCTGGATGACAAGTGATTTTGAGCATCTTTTATGCTTACGCTTATTTACCAGGTGCGTATCTTCTTTATTAAAGTGTCTATTCATATCCCTTGCCCATTTTTTAAATTGGTTTGCTTGTTTGTTTATTGTTGAGTTTTAAAAGTTCTTTATATTTGACTACAAATCCTTTATCACATATTTGAGTTGCAAATATTTCTCCCCATCTGTGGCTTGTCTTTTCATTCTCTGATAGTGTTTTTCACAGAGCACAAGTTTTTAATTTTAATAAAATCTTATTTATCAACTATTTGTTATGGGTTGTACTTCTAGTATCATTTCTAAAAATCAGCCAAACCCAAGATTGATTTTTTAAACAGATTTATTGAAGTATAATTTATATATTAAAGAAGTTACTCATTTAAAGTGTACAATTAGTATATTTACAGAGTTGTGCAACCATCACCGCAGTCACTTTTGGAACATTTTCATCAACTTACAAAAAAACTCCATACCCATTACCAGTTACTCCAGTTTCGACTAATCCCTTTTTGTCTGTATAAATCTGCCTATTGTAGACATTTTACATAAATGGAATCATACAATTGTGGTCTTTGTGACTGGCTTCTTTCACTTAACATGTTTTCAGTGTTCATCTATATTGTAGCATGTAGCATGTTCATCTATATTGTAGCAGTGGGAAAAAATAGAACAACATAAAGAAGATTGGAAGTTCTGAGAGCATTGCCGATTTAGACCGAGTGGATAGGGAAGGGCTCGTTGAAAGGTGATATTGAGAGAAATTTTGGGAGTAGCAAGAGCAGATCTAAGTTCCCGAGCCTCGCAGATGAGTACCAAGAAAAGCAACTAGCAATCTATAATCTCAACTCAGTAAGAACTCTGAAAAGTAGGTGGAAGATTGTAGAAACTAACTGCACACTGAAACAAGAAAAAAGTGAACTTTAGTGGGAGAACCTTTTCTGCTGTCCTTACCCCTACCCCTCCTGGTTTGGCAGCCAAGTGGCTGCATTGGAGGGCAGACCATGGCTCGTGCTCTCAATGACAGGGTACCAGTCTCTGGCTCTGGAGTGAACACAACAGACTCTGCTGGCAGACTCCTCAGTGTGTTTGTTCTGATCTATTTGGGAGCTATCTGAAGGACTAAAGCCTTGTTCTGGTCTGAATCAGACTTCACACAGGGTGGAAGAGGGAGTGGTGAGCAACGAGAGAAGACTGTGGCTGCCTGAGAGTTTCTTGCAGAAATTAGTGCTTTCAAAAGTATGTCGTATACAGGGGAATTGAGAAAGCCACACACATGTACTCGCTGCTAACACATTGCGGTGTTCTTCAACCAGAATATCTCAAGATGTACAAAGAAGCTTGAAGTGATGGCCCATTCAAAAGAAAAGACAAAGGGAGAGAAGTCTCTATGGAAGCCTTGATAATGGACAGATTAGATGACTATAATACAACAATATTAAACATGCTCAAATAATTAATGGAAAACATGGACAGAGAACTAAAGGAAATCAGGAAAAGGATACATGAACAAAATGAGAATATAAATAAAGAGATAGACACTATAGAAATAAACTAAACAATAATGGAACTGAATGTACAGTAACTGAAACGAAACACTCATTGGAAGAACTTGATGCTACCATCATTTGTGTTTAGTTGATTTTATGTAGTGAACCATTTTAATTCCCTTCTTTCCTTTTGGGCATATTTTTAAAGATATTTTCCTTGTGATTTTCATGTGGATTAAATTCAACATCTTAAAGTTATAACAACCTTGTTTAAATTGATAACAACTTAATTTCAGTAACCTACAAAAACTGTTCCTATCCCTGTTAAGGAGTTATTATAATAAATTTGAACTGTAGAAGAAAGAATCAATGAACTAGGGGATACGGTAATTGAAATTGCGGAATCTGAAGAGCAACAAGAGAGAAGACTCCAGACTGCTGAGCATATCCTAATGGAAATGTGGGACACATTCAAGCAAACTAACGTATGTATCATGGGAATCCCAGAAGGAGAGGAGGGAAAGAAAGGAACAGAAAGAATACTTGAAGAAATATTGAGTGAAAACTTTCCAAATCAAACAAAGGACATAAATCTGTAAATCCAAGAAGCTCAGGGAACTCCAAGTAGTATAAACCCAAAGAGATCCACACCGATACACATTATAATCAAGCTCTCAAAAACCAAGGTAAGAGAGAATCCTCAAAGCAACAAGAGAAAAGCAAATTATTACATACAACATCTCCCCAGTAAGATTAAGTGTTTATTTAACCTCAGAAACCCTGGACACCAGAAGGCAGTTGAATGACATAGATATAAAGTACTGAAAGAAAAGAACTGTCAACCAAGAATTCTACATCTGACATAACTGTCTTTCAGGAATGAGGGCTAAATTAAGACATTCCCAGATAAACAAAAGCTGAGGGAGGTCATGACGAGATCTGCCTTTTAACTAATGCTAAATGGAATTCTTCAGATAGAACTGAAAGGACACGAGACAGTAACTTGAAGATGTATGTAAAATAGAAAGATCTCTGATAAAACTAATCTCGTGGACAAATAGAAGGGCCAATTTTTTGGTTTGTAACTTTAGTAGTTATGTTCTACATGATTCCAGAAGACACACCTAAAAACATAACTGTAAATTTATGCTGTTGGGCACATAATTTATAAAGATGTAATTTATAATAACTCTATAACAGGGAGGGGAGCAGTATATGACAAGACTTTTTGTAGGTTGCTGAAGTTAAGTTGGTATCAATTTAAACAAGATTGTTATACATTTAAGATGTTGAATTTAATCCACATGAAAACCACAAGGAAAATACCTTTAAAAATATGCTCAAAAGAAGGAAATTAAAATGGTTCATTACATAAAATCAACTAAACACAAATGATGGTAGCATTGGAGAAATGAAGCACAAAGAAGGTATAAGACACACAAAAACCCAACCACCGAAAGGGCAGAAGT